CAGAATCCATGGTATGATTTTGATGAGCGTAAATGTTGGGAGGCTATGGATTTCACGCCCCAATTCAATTCATCCAAACGTCCAATGGTGAGCGGGATGACACCACCTCAAAGATTGCTGCAATACATCTGTTCTTATATCTTGCGAGGTCGGGTTGGAAATCATCCCCAAATGTCCAAGGATGACTCGATGCTCATCTATGCAATTCTCAAGCCGATTCCCATCAATTGGGGTAAATTCATTTTGACCTACATGAACTTCTGTCGTGCAAAGAAACGAGCCCTTCCATATCCTCTTCTCGTCACTCATATTTTGAAGCAAAAAGGTTTTGAGTTTACTACTGCTGAGATGACTGATGATACTCCTTTTTGGCAAATCCGAGTGGAAACCGTAACTCGTACTCAGAATGTTGATGATGACTCCAGTGACGATGATGATGATGTTGTTGCTCCTACCCAGAAGCGTCCGATTTCCTATAGAGGCAGGGTCTCTCTGCCGATGTTATACGATGCTATGCAAGGACTCCAAACCTCCCTTGACAACTTGAAGATTCAACAAGCTATCCATGGTTATAATTTGAACCAATTGTTGGTCAAGTCGGGAGAACATTGGGTGGTTCCATCGATGGATGCGTTGGAGCCATATATGTACCACGGGTCATCATCTTCTCGGGATACGACTACTCGTCAAGAGACTCAGGATATTGTTGCTGATCATGCTGCTGATGATGAGGAAGATGAGATGGATGAGGAATGAGTGGATGGGGCACTCATGTTATCTTCTAAACTATTTAACTAACATTTTCTCTTTTGTCTTTGTTATATGTGACTTTGCTATCTCCCATTTCCTCCGTGTTTTGATAAACTTAATGTTTTTTTGTCCTTCACCCTTTTTGCTTATGACAAAAGGGGGAAGAGTAATGTGCTTGTGCTTGTTGTAGTGCAATCACTAAGGGGGAAGTAAGGCAAGCACTCATGTTATCTTCTAAACTATTTAACTAACATTTTCTCTTTTGTCTTTGTTATATGTGACTTTGCTATCTCCCATTCCTCCGTGTTTTGATAAACTTAATGTTTTTTTTGTCCTTCACCCTTTAAACTCTTTTTTTTTGTGCTTGTCTTGTCTTGTGTGCTCTTGTTGTATTTGTTGAAAACAGGATATTATTTGGAATCAAGCCCAAGCATTTGAAAAGTTGGGTTTGTCATTATCAAAAAGGGGGAAATTGTTGACCCTTGTGTTTTGATAATGACAACTATCTCATGGGCTTGGCACTTTGGATGTTGATCTTCACTATCATGCATTGGATCTCAAGACAAGTGTGAAGATATAGTATTTTTGGTTTTCATTTTGGTCTTAGCATTTTTGTTAAAGTGTATGGCATGTTGGTTGTTCTCCCCTCCTTGAAAATGTTTTTCAAAAACCCTTCAAATTGTTTTTTTGAGTCAAATGCAAAATAACATTTTCAAAACTGTGAGAACTATTCGGATAATCCTTGTTTTTCTCAGTGCTGTCTTATTCGAATAAATAGCTGTTTATTCGAATAAGTCCTGAATTTCATTTCTTCAATCCTACAGTGATTTAGTCGAATAAACCTTAATTTATTCGAGTAAATCTGCGTTTTTCGCTCTGTCCTATTCGGATAAATATGATTTTATTCGAATAAGTCGTCAGTTTGAACTGCAGTTTTGTCAGTTTTAAAGGGAGTTATCCATCCCTATCTTCAATAACTCACCTACAACGGCTCTTTTGCTTGAAGAACATTATATATATCCATTCAAACATATTCTTTTATCAATCCAAGCAATTCAATTCATACTTTTGATCCTTCAACATTACTTCCAAGCAATTCTTCAAGAAATCAATATTTGCTTGAGTTTTGAAGAGTACTAGTGTGCCATACTCTATAAGTTCTTGTATTCTACAGCAATCCACTCTTAATTTGAAGAGTAATCCGCTGTGCACTTTGTTTTGGAACGGTGTGTGACTTGTAAAAACTTGAAGTTGTTATAATTCAAGTTTTTTTGGAGAGAAATCCTAAGTCCAGTGAAATCAAGACTTCGGTGGAAAGGTTAGAGGCTTGCGAATTCAAGTTCTCGAGTTGTAATCGGATTGTCAAACTCCGTTAAGTTTGACGAAGTTAGTGGAATCTCGGGCACGTTTGCTTCGGGGACTGGATGTAGGCATTAGGCCGAACCAGGATACATCGTGTGTTGCTCCTTCTCTTCATCTTTGTGTTCTTGTGGTTGATAAACTCCTGCAAATTTTTGTTCTTCCAAAAGTTTTGTTTTTTTTGAAGAACACCTCTATTCACCCCCCCTCTAGAGGTGCGTAAGTTGGTCAACAGGAGCTTCCCATCCACGTCCCAATCTGTACACTGAACCGGTGAACCAAGCTGAACTCTATGGTTCTGGTAAACCACTCCCAATCCGATCTTGTCTTATCTTGTGAACACTGCTTTTAAAATCATCTTTCTTCCGCTTGTCCCTTGATTGAACCACCTCCTCCGAGTAAGGCAAAAACTGTTAATCTAGCTCAATACGCAAATAAAGGGGAAGGGCCTTGGGCCCAGTACAATCAGGAGCATTGGCGGGAAAGAAATAATTTCCTAAGGAACAATCGTCCTAGGGATGACTATAAACACGATAATTGGAATAACAATAAAACCAATTACCAAAATAAAAGTGCATCTTACGTTCCACCTCATAATCGCCCACCTCCCCAAGAAGATTCCTTAGCAAGAATGGAGAAAATGATGATGGAGTACATGCAGAAGATGAACAATCTAGCAGATGACTTGAAGGAACGCGACAAGACACGCGATAACCAACTTCAACAAGTGTTTAAACAACTTGGAGTTAGGGAACAAGGGAATCTCCCAGCTACATCTGAACCAAACCCAAGGGAGCAACTTCGGGCCATAACTTTGAGAAGTGGTAAAGAGCTTCAAGGCCCCGAAGTCAAAGCTAGTATAGATGAAGTACCTGTGGAAACTTTTATAGAAACAACCCCTCAAAAGAAGTCTGAATCCATACCTCAGGAGACGAGGAAGGAGGAAACCTCCTTCAGCCAACCCCAACCAACCAGGAAAACCCAGCTAAACACTATTCCCTTCCCTACTAGGGTGAAAAAGAGCAAGGACGAGAAAGCTTTCCAAAAGTTTCTCGATGTCATTGGCCAAGTTGAGGTCAAAATGCCTTTAGTAAATGTGTTAACTGAGATGCCCAAATATGGTAAATTCTTAAAAAACCTCGTAAGTAAGAAGAGGGATTGGGAGGAATTCCCAGTTGTCAGCTTGAATGCTGAATGCTCTGCTATGTTACTTGAGGAAATGCCTAGAAAACGAAAGGATCCTGGATGTTTCATCATCCCTTGCTCCATCAACGATAGAACCTTTGGAGACGCTCTAGCTGACCTAGGAGCTAGCATTAATTTAATGTCGTCCTCTATCATGAAAGCGTTGGGATTGACTGGACTCAAACCTACACAAATGTGTCTTCAATTAGCAGATAGCTCTATTCGTTACCCTAGGGGGGTGATTGAAGACGTACTTGTGAAAGTAAATAAGTTCATCTTTCCTACTGATTTTGTGGTATTGGATATGGCAGAAGATAAGGAAAAGTTGTTATTGTTAGGGCGACCATTCCTTGCAACCGCAAAGGCATTAATTAATGTGCACGACGGAGAAATATTTTTAAGAGTAGGCAATGAAGATGTCACTTTTAAAATGATGAGCGTCATGAATCGAACTCCAGACCCAACTAAGTTCTGCAACTCAGTTAAAGTCATAAAAGATAAAGGGACTGTAGAGGATCTCCTAAGCCTAGAAATCGCTTTCCAAGAACCTAAGTGTGAGGAGGTGTGTGAAATCAAAACGCAATCTATACCCACAAATGATGCAAGGTCCTTAGAGCTTAAACCCTTACCCTCACATCTTGAGTATGCTTTTCTTGATAGTGAGGGCCAGTGCCCTGTTGTCATAGCCTCCGATCTAACACCTGATCAGAAGGAAAAATTACTAGCTGTCCTTCGTACGCACAAGCAAGCAATTGCTTGGAAACTAGAGGATATTCAAGGAATAAGCCCCGCTTATTGCACACATAAAATAGCCATTGAGGACGGATTCAAACCAGTTATGCAGGCACTACGCAGGTTAAATCCAAAATTAATGGAAGTAGTGCAGAAGGAGGTGCTTAGACTCTTGGATGCTGGAATAATATATCCTATTTCAGATAGCCAATGGGTGTCACCAATCCATGTTGTCCCAAAAAAGGGTGGGATGACAGTAACCATAAATGAGAAAGGGGAGTTAGTTCCAGGAAGAACGGTGACTGGGTGGCGAATGGTCATAGACTATAGGAAATTAAATGACGCTACACGCAAGGATCATTTCCCCCTTCCTTTCATTGACCAACTCATTGAGAAATTAGCTGGCCATGCGTACTATTGCTTCCTGGATGGGATGAGTGGTTATTTCCAAATCCATGTAAATCTCAAAGACCAAGAAAAGACCACTTTCACGTGCCCCTTTGGAACCTTTGCATTCCGTCGAATGTCATTTGGACTCTGTAATGCCCCTGCCACCTTTATGAGGTGTATGATAGCTATTTTTGAAAAGTTTATAGGGGATTTCATGGAAGTCTTTATGGATGATTTCTCTATTACAGGGAAGTCATTCGACGAATGCCTGGGTAACCTAGAGAAAGTTCTTATAAGATGCGAGGAAACTCACCTGGCCCTCAGTTGGGAAAAATGCCAATTCTTAGTCAAAGAAGGAATAGTCTTAGGTCACAAGGTATCAAGTCGTGGGGTGGAGGTGGACCGCGCTAAAATCGAGGCTATCGAGAAGCTTCCACCACCAAATTCCGTAAAAGCCATTAGAAGCTTTCTAGGCCACGCAGGATTCTATAGAAGATTTATCAAAGATTTTGCTAAAATAGCAAAACCCCTAACTGCCCTACTAGAGAAAGGTATAGAGTTTGTTTTTACGGATGAATGTTTACAAGCATTCAATACCTTGAAAGAAAAACTAATCTCAGCCCCAGTTCTTATTGCCCCATATTGGGCATTACCATTTGAACTTATGTGTGACGCTAGCGACTTAGTAGTAGGAGCAATCCTTGGACAAAGGAAGGAAAAGGTTTTTCACCCAATTTACTACGCTAGTAAAACCCTGTCGGGAGCACAACTCAACTACACAGCTACTGAGAAAGAATTCCTAGCAATTGTATACGCTTTGGGAAAATTCAGGCCTTACATCATTCTTTCTCCAGTTATCGTTTACACCGACCATGCGGCGTTGCGATACCTGTTGCAAAAGAATGATGCAAAGCCTCTGTTATTACGTTGGGTTTTATTGTTGCAGGAATTTGATTTACAGATCAATGATAGAAAAGGATCGGCAAATCAAGCTACAGATCACCTATCCCGACTGGATGTGGAAGTAGCCGAGCAATTTGGCAATTGTATAGTGAACGAGTCCTTTCCCTTCGAAAGGATTTACGTTATACAAGAAAAGGAGCCTTGGTATGCGGATATTGCCAATTATTTGGCAGGGAAGATCGAGCCTACCTTGCTGACACCGCATCTAAGCAAGAAGCTTAAGCGAGAAGCTCACTTCTACTTTTGGGACGACCCCTACCTTTTCAGGATTTGTGCAGACCAGGTAGTTCGGCGATGCGTGACTGAAGCAGAAGGAAAGGAAATTTTGGCAGCCTGTCATAGTGGCCCAGTTGGCCGACACTTCTTAGGAGCAAGGACAGAAAGGAAGGTGTTGGACTCAGATTCTTCTGGCCAACACTCTTTAGGGATGCTAATCAGTTTGTTGCTTCATGCGACCGCTGTCAAAGAACGGGCAATATATCCAAGAGAGATGAGATGCCACAACATTACATGCTGCCGTGCGAAGTATTTGATGTGTGGGGAATCAACTTTGTTGGGCCATTCCCGAGTTCTTATGGTAATAAACACATTCTCGTTGCTATCGACTACGTCTCCAAATGGGTTGAAGCCCAAGCTTGCAAAAGAGACGATGGCCGCACAGTGGTTCGCTTCTTAAAGAAACTGTTTTTGAGGTTTGGAGTACCAAGACTAATAATAAGTGACAAAGGTACCCATTTCAGAAATGATCCACTATCTAAGGCGTTAGGACGTTATGGAGTTCAGCATAGAGGAGGAGTAGCGTACCACCCTTAGACGCAAGGACAAGTGGAGAATGCAAATAGGGATTTAAAGAGAATCTTGGAGAAAACTGTTGCCCGAACGAGGAAGGATTGGAGCGAGAAACTCGATGATGCTCTATGGGCATTTCACACGGCATATAAAGCACCAATTGGTACAACTCCCTTTCAATTGGCATACGGAAAGTCTTGTCACCTTCCAGTTCAAATTGAGCATAAGGCATTATGGGCGCTATGAAATGTTTGCCTTGATTCTTCTGAAGCTGGGCGAGAAAGATTTTATCAACTAGATGAGCTAAACGAATGGCGAGCATTAGCATTCCACAATGCTAAGCTATACAAGGAAAGAATGAAGTTTTATCACGACGCTCATATTAAGCAAAACAGGGTCTTTCGCGAAGGCGAAAAAGTGTTGCTTTATAATTCTCGTTTGAAATTGTTCCCAGGCAAGCTTCGCTCCCGATGGACAGGGCCTTACACAATCACCAGAGTCTTTCCTTATGGGACTATAGAGTTAAGAGGTGAATCTGGAACGTTCTAGGTCAACGGTCAACAGATTAAGAGGTATTTCGGTGAACAGTTTCAGAAAGAGAAGGTGGAGATCAAACTCCACAAGTGATGAAGTAAGCGCGTCAAGCTAGTGATGTTAAAGAAGCGCTGGACGGGAGGCAACCCGTTATCTCTCTCTACTTTATTTAATTATTGTTTTCTGTTATTTCTTATTTGAATAAATGAATGGAGACTTGTCGCACCTACGCAGGGGCAAGATTTTATATGTGTATTTCATGTGTGGATGCCTCACAGACCAACATACCCGAATGATACGCGTGCCGATGTTCACTTAGTGGGTTCTGGGCCCATCGAGCGGTTCGAGATGTGGGGCCGCCACCGCTCTCTGACAGAGTCTATGTATATGTCCTCGACAGTCCTCGCCGACTACAGGTATGCTGAGGAGATGGAGCAGCTGCTACGAGGGACTAGGTGGCATCGCCTCTTCACTATGCGGGCCGAGTCCAGCCTGCCACTGACGATCGAGTTTCTGTGCTCTCTAGAGTTGGAGCCATCCTCAGGGTCGAGGATGATGAACTTCCAGTCCATCGACTCTCGAACCACCCTCACCTTCACTCTCATGGGGTGGGGATTTCAGCCACGATCGCTGAGCTGGCCTCTCACTTGGGTCTCTACTCTCGGGATGAGACGTTGGCACCAGAGTTTGATACCGCATCGTACCTTCTCCCAGCAAACGTTGATCCTGCGGACTTTTGGGCCGAACATTCTTCTGATCCTGATTGCTTTGAGGGCATGGGTAGAACCAGGTTTTGGATTCAGCCGACTTGGCGAATCCTATCTTTTGTGCTTTCGACGTCCTTCTTTGGGAGGCCGCTGAACACAGATCGGGTATACCCCGATAGAATAGCTTTAGCGATTAGTGTAACACCCCGGCCCCCACCCTGGCTGTAAGTGTCTGCTCATATGATTGTAGACTAGCCCCACAAACCAACACACGTCTTTCCCGCGCACTTTGTCCTCACTCGTGCGCGCCCAAGGAATTTCCTAGGGGGTAACCCATCCTAAAATTTCTCCAGGTCAAGCACGCTTAACTTTGGAGTTTCTAGGTGATGAGCTCTCGAAAAGAAGATGCACCTTGTTGGTATGAGTAGTACTATCAATCCTTTTGAGCTCTTCCCATTCACATCTTGATACGGGGTATTACATTCACCCCCACTTAAGAATGCAATGTCCTCGTTGCATCCTTTTTTGAACCCATAGATCTTCCCCGCTAGGTGAACTAAGCTCTTTTGGCCCGTCACGGTCGCAGGGTTGCTCTGATACCATTTGTAACACCCCAGCCCCCACCCTGGCTGTAAGTGTCTGCTCATAGGATTGTAGACTAGCCCCACAAACCAACACACGTCTTTCCCGCGCACTTTGTCCTCACTCGTGCGCGCCCAAGGAATTTCCCAGGGGGTAACCCATCCTAAAATTTCTCCAGGTCAAGGAATTTCTCCAGGGGGTAACATATGTATGTATGTATGTATGTATGTATGTATGTATGTATGTATGTATGTATGTATGTATGTATGTATGTATGTATGTATGTATGTATATATGTATGTATGTATGTATGTATGTATGTACTCCCTCCGTCCAAGAATAATCTTCTTACTCTACCTTTTTTCCCGTCCGGAAAAAATCTTCCTATTCTACCTTTTCATCCCAATTCTTCCTATACTACCCCTCTTGTTAAATCTCTTTTTCTTTTTTTGCTTTCTCTTCCCTTTTTCTCGACCAAAGCCCATATCTCTATCTCATTTCCCCAACTCCCCTCTTCTTCTTCTCCTCCTCCTCTGCCGATTTTCTTCTCCTCCTCTTCGACTCTTCTTCTTCACTTCTTTTTCTTTTTTTTTCTCATCCTCATCTTCTTTCTCCCCCACCCCCTTTCTTTTCATATGCCTTCTTTTCTTTCTCCCCATTCTTCTTCTTCTTTTTTTATATCTGTGCTAGATCTATGAGGATGAGGTGACAGTGAATGGACTACATGGCGATGATAGACTAAACATCGGTGGTGGGAGCTGAGTTGGCGGTGGATCTATGGTAAATCTGTGTTAGATCTGTGCTTAATTTTCCTCTCATCTTTCTCCCCCTTCTTTTTTCTCTTTCTCCTAGAGATAGTGATGGTGGTGGGTGGGGACGATTGTGTGGCTGATGGTGATGAGGGGACTATCGGCGATCNGGTCAGGGGCGGAGGCGGTGATGATGGGGCTGTCGGGGGTGGGGCGGCGGTGGGTGGGCGATGGTGGGAACTGAGGCGGGGGTGGGTGCTCCAGCCTCCAGGGGTTCTAGGGCAGTGAGGGTTACAAGGGTATTTTGGACATTTCCTTCTTAAAATCAGCCCTCACTAAAAATGAGGAAAAGTCAAAGTAAGAAGTTTATTACCGGACGGAGGGAGAATGTATGTATGTATGTATGTATGTATGTATGTATGTATGCATGTATGCATGTATGTATGTATGTATGTATGTGTGTAACACCCTAATCCATCCAGCCCCTTTCGGACTAAAGTATTAACTTGGTAATCGTAATAATTTAAAACTTTTCAAACACTTTTTATTTATCATAATAATATTTTTCATAACAGATACATTACAGAGTATTCAACAATATTGTGGAAGCGAATTTAATATTTGCACATCATAAATCATTTCAAACTTGTCACATCCATCCCGACAATCTCGCCCCATCTGCCGCCAGGATCACATTTTCTTTCTGTTTACTTGCGTGTAGCAAATAAAACACACTACACGCTCAGTGGTAAAGCTGAGTAAGCATATCTAATGCTTCGAACATCCATATAAATTGAATCTAAATTCATATTCAATTCATTTGATATCATGCACACAATTTTCATTTCAGGCATTCACAGTTTTGATAATGTTCAGTTCATTTCAACACATTTTATTCAACTCAGATATTATTCTAATAGCGCACTTAAATTATTCTTAATTTAAGGCCAAACAATAACAACGCTCTAAGCTAATCTTAGTCTAAGGCCAGATTATAACAATGCTCTTAGATATTCTTAGTCTAAGACCAGATTATAACAATGCTCTTAGCTATTCTTAGTCTAAGGCCAGATCATAACAATGCTCTTAAAAAGGCAATTAATTATCAGACACTTAAACTATCATTAGTTTAAGGCAATTGATTTCGGACACTTAGATGTAGTCAGTTAAGGCAATCAGACACTTTAACTATCACTAGTTTAAGGCAAATGATTCAGACACTTAACTGTAGTCAGTTAAGGCAACAACAACAATATGTCAATTGATCAATATTGGATCAGGCATTCCCAAACGAGTAATTCTCTAGCTTGGTCTATGAATCCTGTTTATGTATTTTTATCTAATTCATCAATATTCATGTTTTACAAATCCATACAAATATGAGATCTATTCTAGAGGTCTTCTAGATAGCCTTAACATCAATTCTCTAAATGTGTATATCTTAGAGTTCCTCGAGATACCTTTAACACTACAAATCATTTCATAATTATAATTGTATTCATTTTACTCATGATTCAATCATAAATACTTATTTTAATCAGTGGGTTCATTACTCGTAATCATCCATAATATTCATTTATCATAATCATCAATTAACATAA